TGCGACCCAGCTCCATGCTGCAGGGGGTCCGTGTGGTCTCACTGTCTGCCCAGATAGGGGGAATGGCTGGGCGCCTGCATATAGAAGAATCGATCTCTCCATTTTCTTCCTGCAGCTGTTGATTGCCCGCTTCTCCTCCTCTCCCTCCCGCAGGCATTCATGCAGGAGGAAAATGGAGAGACTGATTTCTCTATATGCAGCCACCCCGCTGCTCCTCCTATTTAGATTCCTTTGCTGCCCCCAGTGCTCTCCACCCCCGTGCTCTTCATCCCCCTGTGTTCTTTAGTCCCCAGCAGGAACCGGCTGAGATTCCAACCATGTATGGGCAGGCTGAATGTACCCAAGTTGATTGATCGATCACTTTGAGTACAACCAGCCTGACGGATTTTACATGCAATTACTGTTATATCCGCTAGCAATAATTACTCTGTTCTGTGTTGATGGGGGAATTGAGCTTCATCTATGGCCAGCCTAAAATCAATAGGATGAGTATCACTAATTTACTGCTCCTCCACTGTCCAATTAAATGCAGGCCATACATGGTTCGTATTCCGAACGATTTTTCGTCCGAATATCGAAAAAATTTCCTTCGCTCGGTAATTCGATAGTGCCATCAATGATTTCGAAAATCGGCCACCAAGTCATAAAGTTCACCCATATAATAGGAAAAACTTCTGTTCCTTCCAGGTCACGGCTCGCATATTCTTTTTGGAAAAATTATCATACAATTTGACCATTGATCGAAAATCGAGTCGAAAATTTTCCAACATGCCCGATCACCGAAATGAGGAAGGAACCACAAAAATCGGGCGGTGCCATTGACCCACTAACAGAGCGTGAAAAATCGGCCGATTATTCTTAGGTTCAATTTTCGAACGAAAAATTGGTCGAATTTCGACCCATGTATGGCTGGCCAAAGGCAGGGCAAGGAGGTGACTAATGGCCTGTACACACAATAAGAAAATCGTACGGAAGTTTCCGTATAAGGAACGATCGACATCTGATCGTTAGTATAGTGCTTTCAACAGTCGATTCCAACTTTTCAAACGACAAAGACTGAGGGTCAAGCTAGAAACTTTTTATTGTACATGAACACAACATCCGATTTTTGTTTAATGTGTACAGTAATCATGCAGACGGAAGTAATCGAATAGAAAAAAAAATGTGCATGATCAGAAGCAAAGAACGACCCTATGCTTCCTCTTTCACCATGCTATTATGTAGCTATGTCTGCCTTTGTCTGCTGAGAGCTTGCTTACAAGTCAACACCATTCCGACTACATCACGATGTGCACTTTTGTGGAAATTCAGACGATCAGTCATCCGATTTTCTCATAAAAAAATCAGGTCACCAAGATGGTTGTGCTACCTGGTAGCTAGACAAATCTCAAATTTCAAAAGTTTTGGAAGGTAAAACAGCTGCCACCAGGGGTGGACTGACCATTCAAGCACTTGGGCACTGCCGAGGGCCCGGGCTCAGTAGGGGGCCCCATGAGATGCCCCTGGTACCTTTAATTGGCTTTTTTTATAGGCTTTTTTGGGTAAGGGCGAGGACACAGGGGGCCCCTAGATCCACTATTGCTCTATGAGTTGTCAGTCCTCCCCTGGCTGCCACATATATATTTCATATTTGTTGTTAGCAGTTTGGCTCTGAATTTATCTTTCAATGATCTAATCAAACTTCTTGTCTGCCTTGCAGAGCTCCGTACTTAGCATCTTCAATGTGATGCAGTTGAACCAATATGTTGAAATCACCAATGCATTTGGCAACTACATTACCTCGACTCCAGTGTTTAATCAGCTGGCCAACAATGACTTTGCCTTCACTTTTGGATTCTTGATGAACTTGACAGCCAGAAAATACACAATTGATGTTCTTTTTTCATTGTTGAAAATCCTTGTGGACAATCTAAACAGCATTAAAGATCCTCTCTGTAAGCCTCAACTAGATACTATCTTCATGGGAAAACTTAGTTATTTGCTTGTAGCCACAAATGACACCATCCTGCAGAAGCTTGCTCCAACAGATTGCTCTGAGTACCAAGACATGTAAGTAGAAACAAAATGCATGTCATGTCATGTTGGCTTACACTGCTCATAGGTTATAAGATGTCCATTGACATAGGAGAGCATTCACGGTTCATGGATGCTTCAGCTGCAGTCAGGCAAACCTTTCTGCTGACTACACCTCATAAATGTACATTTATCTTGGCCAAGCGTCCTGTATTTACCAACCCTAGTTTATGTGAGCATCAGCTTATTTCAAGGGAAAGTAAGGGTCAGACAAAGAATTTTACCCCTCATTTCCCGGAACTGTCCAAGGGTTCCATAAACATTTGGCTGTTGCCCAATGCAAGTGAAGAAGATCACCCAATCCAACTCAAGATGACCATATTGGAATATACTGATCTAAAATCAATTGTCCATCTTACACAATTTGACTCTCTTTAAAAATGGTTATGTGCATTGAATAAAAACCTATGGCAATGACAGTCCTGCTAGGTGACTCCCCCAGACACTTATACTTACCTATAATTTATTTATTTACAGGTACTTATATAACACTGCCAATTTACACAGCGCTTTACATATGTATTGTACATTCACATCAGTCTCTAACCCTCAAGGGGTGTACAGTCTAACGTCCCTAACCCTCAAGGGGTGCACAATCTAAGGTCCCTAACTCACATTCATACATACACATACTAGGGGCAATTTAGACAGGAGCCAATTAACCTACCAGCATGTCTTTGGAGTGTGGGAGGAAACCCACGCAAGCACAGGGAAAGCATGCAAACGCCAGGCAGGTGGTGCCATGGTTGGGATTCGAACCAGCGACCCTAGTACTGCCAGGCAGAAACACTAACCATTTAGCCACTGTGCCGCCCATATAATTTACTAGATCGATCTTCTGCTGTACTCAGCCCTGTGTTTGACAGTTATACCTCTTCTTTGTCAATTGTGTCAAGTTCTACCTGTACTATGGCTACACACAGTACATAAGCAAAAGTTCTATTTTTTTAGGCGGGGGGGAGTCAAATTTTTGCTTCTAAGAAGGGTCTTGTCAAAAGCAGGAGATGTTGCACCACCTCCCTAACTGCTAACTTTGACCCCAGAGCTTTTGTACAGTGAATGTTTGCCCCCTGAATGTAATGAGAGGATCCCCTTGTCTACCATGTCCCTCTTCCTCAAGAGAATATCCATTCAAAATACTTCTGCCTCCATAGTTACATACAGTGGCTATTCTGGTTGAAAATAAAGACACAAGTCCAGCCAGTTCAACCAGAGTAGGAAAAAAAACATATACACACACACAAACACACACACACACACACACATAAAAAACTTTCATATACACTATGCAATGCCCACAGTTGATCCAGAGGAAGGGAAAAAAAAACCCAATAAAGCATGATCCATTTTTTTTCCAGTTTAGGAGAAAAAATCCTAGCTCATCCCCCAAAGGCAATCAGATATTCCCTGGATCAACTATACTGTACCTGGATCAACTTCCATAGCAGCCTCTCATGCTTAGGACAGCCTACATACACTATATGGAGGGCTCATGTTTGCTCCATGGAGTTAAAGTGTCTTCATACAGACACTGAGCCCCATTGCTTAGCATCAGAGTTGTCAACCTAAAATGTATATATCTTTACACACAACTGCCAAAGAACGTGATCAGTGTAAACATTTTACCATTTAACAAAATTTAGCTCCCAGTTTGTCAGGGCTCCCGGGTGTGACCAGAGGTATGTGACTGACGCAGGGAAACGCAGACTTCAGATATGTTATAAACAATATAATTTATTAACACTAACAATACAAACATAAACGCAGTGCAATACTAAAACATAACACAGTGCGAACAAACTAAACCAACCACCCACAGATAACAGTACATACAGTGCAAGCGTCGTCAGGCAGGCCGGGTCAATATCAATCGGGCAGGTAGGTACAGGGGGAGAAAGCGGAGAATAGTCAGGTCACGAGCAGGGTACAGCAACTAACAGGCAGGTAGGTACAGGGGGTCAGGCAGAGAATGGTCGGGGTCACAAGCCAGGGATCAGAACAGGAGAAGTCAGCAGAGGTCAGAATCAAGCCGGGTCAGCAACAAGACAGGAACAGGATGCAGGTTTACAAGATACAGGGCCCAGGAAAAACACAACACCAAGGCAGAGTCTGCAGGTCTGAATGTCCCTTAAATACAACAGTATAATTAGTTCCAGGTGTTTGACTGGCTGCAAGGTTGAGTCTCTGATTGCTGGGAGCACCCGCTGGCCAGCCCTGGTACTGCAGCTCACAAGGCAGGTGAGTCCCACTATTGCTGGCCAGCCCATTCCTGACAGTACCCCCCCCTCAAGGAGCGGCCTCAGGACGCTCCAAACAGTCCTAGCTGGGCAAAATGTTCCACCGCCTGGGTCTGGTAACTGGCGGGATATCAGACTGGCACACCGGGCTGGACTCCGGGCAGAGGCACATCGGGCTGGACTCCGGGCAGAGGCACATCGGGCTGGACTCCGGGCAGAGGCACATCGGGCTGGACTCCGGGCAGAGGCACATCGGGCTGGACTCCGGGCAGAGGCACATCGGGCTGGACTCCGGGCAGAGGCACATCGGGCTGGACTCCGGGCAGAGGCACATCGGGCTGGACTCCGGGCAGAGGCACATCGGGCTGGACTCTGGGCAGAGGCACATCGGGCTGGACTCCGGGCAGAGGCACATTGGATTACCAGGTGAAGCAGCAGGCACCGGGCCCCCAGGCGGGGCGACAGGCATCGGGCCCCCAGGCGGGGCGACAGGCACCGGGCCCCCCGGCGGGGCGACAGGCATCGGGCCCCCAAGCGGAGCGGCGGGCGCCGGGCCCCCAGGAGGGGCGACAGGCATCGGGCCCCCAGGCGGGGCGACAGCATCGGGCCCCCAAGCAGAGCGGCGGGCCCCCAGGAGGGGCGACAGGCATCGGGCCCCCAGGAGGGGCAACAGGCATCGGGCCCCCAGGCGGGGCGACAGGCATCGGGCCCCCAGGTGGGGCGGCAGGCATCGGGCCCCCAAGCGGAGCGGCGGGCGGCGGGCGCCGGGCCCCCAGGAGGGGCGACAGGCATCGGGCCCCCAGGAGGGGTGACAGGCATCGGGCCCCCAGGCGGGGGGTGACAGGTCTTTGGCCCCCAGGTGGAGCGGCAGGCGCCGGACCCCCAGGCGGAGCGACAGGCCTCAGGCCCCCAGGTGGAGCGGCGGGGCACCGGACCCCCAGGCAGAGCGACAGGTCTCGGGCCCCCAGGCGGAGCGGCGGGCGCCGGACCCCCAGGCGGAGCGACAGGTCTCAGGCCCCCAGGCGGAGTGACAGGTCTCAGGCCCCCAGGCGGAGCGGCGGGCGCCGAGTCACCCAGGCACGACAGTGGGCTCCGAGTCAACTGGCAAGACTGACGGGCACCGAGCCAACTGGCGGAACAGCGGGCTTCGAGTCGTCTGGCAAGACGCGGGCTTCGAGTCGTCTGGCAAGGGGGACCGCAGGCACCGAGTCGTCTGGCAAGACCGCGGGCACCGAGTCGTCTGGCAAGACCGCGGGCACCGAGTCGTCTGGCAAGACTGCGGGCACCGGATCAGGTACCGGATCATCTGGATCAACAGCGGCATCAGGCTGAATGCAGGCATCAGGCTGAGTAGAGGCTTCAGGCTGAGTAGAGGCTTCAGGCTGAAGAGAGGCATCAGGCTGAAGAGAGGCATCAGGCTGAAGAGAGGCATCAGCTGAAGAGAGGCATCAGGCTGCGTACAGGCATCAGGCTGAGTAGAGGATTCAGGCTGAGTAGAGGCTTCAGGCTGAACCACGGAAGGCTGGTTCTCGGACGGCAGGCTCACCGGTTTGGATACTGGCAGGATGGTACTGGTTGGAAAGAATTTTCGCTTTTTTCTGGTTTTAACTACTGGAGCACTGCAAGTAAACGCAGGTCTGCAAATGAATGGAGCAGCTGGAGACAGAGAAGAACTGGAGGATGGGACAGGAGAGGGAACAGTCGCTACAGAGGGCTTCTTTACAGGGTTAAAGGCAGGATAGGTGCAGCGAGTGGGAACAGGGTACTGACATGCGGTAGATAGCCAAGTATACTGGGCTGTAACTGGAGGAGCTGTTGGGAATACAGGAGTAGAGCTTTGAGGAAATAGATTAGAAGCAGGACTGGGTCTTTGTAAGCTGACTGAGGCTGGGTGCAACAAAATCTGTCCATGTCTGCAGTATGGGTTGAACAAAGCTGAGCTTACACAAAGCCTGTCTGACCAAAGACTGCACTGCGTTTATACAATCTCTTAGTGTCTGTGGTGAACATGTGGAATAACGCTCCAGAAAGTAACCCACATCATCCTCTAATAACCACACCAGGGACTCTACCTGGTCTGCACTAAATGGTGGCAAAAATTCATCCCTGCATTCGGGGGAACCAGATGAAACCAACTCAGCACAAACCTCAATCAATGGCTGCACCTCAGAGAACTCTGTGCCCTGATCTACTAGAACATGAGCGAGCCGTATACATTCTAGAAGTTCATCCCGGGTATACTCCTTCAGAGTCTGATAAGCTACTCCCTGTCATCAAACACTAGCAGATATAAATACGCAACCTCATCCAGATCCATCCTTCCCATCAACAAACCAAGATGGCTTCCCTGTGCAGCCACTTCTGGTCAGGTTTGGCCTTGGTGTAATGTCAGGGCTCCCGGGTGTGACCAGAGGTATGTGACTGACGCAGGGAAACGCAGACTTCAGATATGTTATAAACAATATAATTTATTAACACTAACAATACAAACATAAATGCAGTGCAATACTAAAACATAACACAGTGCGAACAAACCAAACCACCCACAGATAACAGTACATACAGTGCAAGCGTCGTCAGGCAGGCCGGGTCAATATCAATCGGGCAGGTAGGTACAGGGGGGAGCAAGCGGAGAATAGTCAGGTCACGAGCAGGGTACAGCAACTAACAGGCAGGTAGGTACAGGGGGTCAGGCAGAGAATGGTCGGGGTCACAAGCCAGGGATCAGAACAGGAGAAGTCAGCAGAGGTCAGAATCAAGCCGGGTCAGCAACAAGACAGGAACAGGAACAGGCTGCAGGATGCAGGTTTACAAGATACAGGGCCCAGGAAAAACACAACACCAAGGCAGAGTCTGCAGGTCTGAATGTCCCTTAAATACACCAGTATAATTAGTTCCAGGTGTTTGACTGGCTGCAAGGTTGAGTCTCTGATTGCTGGGAGCACCCGCTGGCCAGCCCTGGTACTGCAGCTCACAAGGCAAGTGAGTCTCACTATTGCTGGCCAGCCCATTCCTGACACAGTTCTTGTACCACATCCCAATGGACTATAGAAAAAATACCCCAAGGGGAAATAAGTGGACTTTACTGGTACCAAGAATTACATATAAACATTTTAAGACCATTTAATATCCATTTATTGGTTTAAAAAAAAACATACATGTTACATGTATACATGGGGAAATTTACATCCCCCTTTGATGCAAATTACTAAAATAGAAGCATATATTATATCATATCAACATGTAAACCACTCCTAAATATGTACTGTAGTTGTCGAGGTCGACACATTTCACAAGAATTACTTTTTCAGAACCTCATATCTTGAGAGAGGGAGTGAATAATTTATATATCGCTTCAAAGAACTTGGCACAGGCACCATGGTGGCAAATAATGCCACAGCTGTGTCGTGCATGATTGTCAGAGACAGCAAATATGAAGTATTGGCAGCCAAATATTTGATGTGGGATCTGGTGGTTATGTGTTACTCATTGTATGGAAACTAGGACCAACAGTTTTAATGGGCATTGACATACTATCCAACTATGGTGCAAAATTCTTGGTTCTATACAGTGGATTGGATGCTTGCAGGGGCCTAGCCTTTATAGGAATATGCAAATCCATTAACAGGTTGGTCCCCCCCCATGATCCTGAAATCTCAGGCGATATATATATTGATCTCTATGATGGGAGAGATGCCTCATTATCATTATCCCAATTCATAATTGGCCACATTCCTGAGGAGCGGCCTCATTATTACTGTGAACTTGTACCAAGTAGTCATATTGGTGCAAAGTATTGCCATTGGTTTCCGCCATGTTGCCTGTGCTGTTCTTTGAAGCGATATATATATAAATTATCTTATAACATACAGTATAAATTAACATTTTTACCGGTAATTAGATGTTCTTGCATGGCAAGACCACTTCCTGTTATCTCACATATATATTCTTATTATTATAGCCAAATTTACCCCCTAACTCCTCCCACAGTTTTTACACTACATAGACAGTAATATACCGAAACGTGCGGATTGTTCCCGATTGGTGAGCTATTACTTTGTGGAGCGTTTCACCGAATGGTTCACGAAATATCGGCGTTTTTGTGGTGAAATAGGTCCCATAGGAATGAATGGCGGAATGTTCAAAAACTAGAGTGTGAGCTGACAAAAGCTAGAGTGTGAGCTAAAAAATCAGGACATGATTTCTAAACTGCCATCACTCCCTCATTTTCAAGCCCACCTACACATATCATATATCAAAACATTCAGCTATCCCTGCTGCCACTAAAAATGTCCACAGCTAAGCCATAGTCCTGATAGTTTTTCACAATATGACCATTTGTTTGCAACTCACGACATTCATTGAAACTCCACTCTAGCCGCCTCAAATTTGAAGGGCAATTTCTAAACTGCGACTGTGCCTTCATTTTTAATATATTTGTGATATTTGTGATTCTCACAATATAAAGCTCTTTGGTGTAGGATTTATAATCTTTAAACTACAACCGTCTGAAGATGGCAACTGCCAGTGAAGTGAGCAAGTTGGAGCAGTTTGTTTTTAACCGCTCTTCTCTGCCCTTGCTGTAGAGTGAGTTGCCATAGGAACCCAGGTGTGTGAGCAGGCAGCAGAGTGACAAAAGCTAGAGTGTGAGCTGAAAAATAAAAGTTGAAATGCATTTCTCACTCTATCAAGCTTGCCATGTGCACTTTTTAAATTTGATCAATCAATTGGTTAGTGTAATGTTTACTATCTTTACTCACTCCAAACACGCCACACAGTTACTCTGCCCACTCCATAAAGTGACTCTGCCCAGTCCAACCTTTTCACAGTTACTCCAGACCACACAACAGTTACTCCAGCCACTCCAACCACACAACTGTTACTCCAGCCACTCCAACCCAGTTACTCCAGCCACTCCAACCACACAACAGTTACTCAAGCCACTCCACCCATTTACTCTGCCCACTCCAGTTGTAGACTACTGGTGGAGGCAAGAACACTTCACACAATTTTCCCAGAAATTGTAGCTTTTCTAGTTATTGAAGCAACAGGAAATTGCCCGCTATAATGTATACCTACGTTGCAATCAAGAAATAATTTGATTTGATTCCTCACTTCTGATGCCTATGTGATATCTGTGATGAGCCGTAAGCCATGGTGAAAAGGAGAGGAAGCTTCTCAATAGAGAGGCTTGGTGGATTTTTCAAATTAAATTTACGTCCTTTTTTACCCATAAATAGAGCTTTCTGTGGTATTTGATTGCCTGTGAGTTTTTTTTTTTTTTGTGCTATAAACAAAGAAAGACAATCAATTTTGAGAAACAAACAGTATTTTTGACTTTTTGCTATTAAACATGTCCAGTACAAAATTTAAAAAATCTAATTTTGATTTCCCCTGACCCGGAACTGCGACATCACGTATATATACAAAATTTTGCACACCCCTGCCACCCTGTAGCGGGTATTTCTGCTATAGGGTGGCACAGAAGTGGTTAAATGTATTGATATGTATGCATTTTTTTGTTCAGTGTTTGCCTATTAAGGTGGCTTGGACATGATATCGGCTGTCTATCTCAGCTGTTGTCATTTTCTTTCATTATTTGCTTAATTGGCCAATTAATGGGTGGAGCCTTGTTCTACCCACCATATATATGCATTCTTTATGTTTCACATCACTGTATAGGTTATGACTAAGGCTTGTTAATCCGAAACGCGTCAACCATTGTACCTGTGATGTTTTTTACTGTGGTCGATTTAATAAAATTAAGATTTTAGAGCGATTGTGGTAGTGCGGATCGATTTCATTCATTTTCACTATGATGTATACCTATGTTGCAATCAAGATATAATTTGATTTGATTCCTTACTTCTGATGTCTATGTGATATCTGTGATGATCTGTAAGCCACTGCTGCTTTCCTTTTCACTGTTTAGCTTTGACATAATGTTACATTTTTTTTTTTTTAGCTACGGAGGAATAAATATTGTCTATGATCAACTCTCTGATGACAACAAACTTTCAGTGTTTAAAATCCAGGATGAAGTTCTTGGATGATGAGGCTGCCAAATCAGGTAATAAATCAATTTTCTGCTCTAGATTTTTTTTTCTTTAACACAATCCCTATGTATGAATGAAAAATACATTGCTTCATCTGACAAAATA